AATCTTCGGCAGGCGCCTCTGCGCCTTGCGGACCCCCGAAAGCCGGGCGAGAAAGCCAAGGTTGTGGCAACCTGCTCGGGATGCGATGGAGGGACTGGAAGCCTCCCGGGACATTGAAGCGAACAGGCCTCGCTGAGATCTTACAACCCCTCCCCCAAAGTTTCTGCCTTTGCAAACAGCTGCCCCTCCCCAGAATGCCTCCGGGGTGCAACCCCTCCCCCACAGCGATAGAGTGAACGCCGATCCGTTCGTGGGAAAGGGTTGGGGTCAAGCTGCTGCCCTGTAACTCGAACTCTGCATTCGCCTTTTTCCACTGGAATTTCTCACCTGTCTTGGGACTACAACTCCCACAATACACACAGGAAGGGAAGTGGTTCCCCCGTTGGGGCCACCCTGGGTGCTCTACCTGGCTGGATATCCTGGCATGGAATGTGATGCTAATGGACCGGGCAGTGGAGGGCTTCCTCCCCGAGTTCTGCCAGTCCTGCTTAGTGGAATGGCGAGACTCAGCCTGGTTCTGGTATGGAGCTGCCCAAAAAGCTTTTGACCTCACTGGGCTCTAACCCCAGCCCCAGCACATGTCCACTGGTTCAGGCCAGTGAGCCAAATCTGGACTGCATCCAGCGTAGGTCAAGGGAGTAAGTCTAGGTAAGTCATGTGTCCCACTGATGCCAGCAGAAGGCACCCACCCAGTCTCCATCCTGAGGCAAGGCTCATCACCTGCTGCTGCTGCTTGTTCACATGCAGCGGATCCTGAACAAGAAATGCAGTGTGCGCAGGATGGACTGGATGACCGTTTAGGAAGGGTCCAACTATGATTGTGTGAAAGGCACTAGAGATGTAAATAGGTAGGTGTAGTTCTTCTCTTGACCCTTCATGGATGGATGGATGGATGGAGGGGAGGGGAGGAGCCAGCAATCTTCAGCTCCTCCTCCATTTCACCTTCCAGAGGGGCAAAGCCCGACAGGGCCTCTTCCTTTAGCTTAACGCTCCTCTCCCTGCTTGTTCTGAAGGGCCTTGCCAGCTGCTGTCCCAGCCCCAGAGGGACGACCTTTCTTGGGAGCCTGAAGATAAACAGATCGGAAGCCTGCAGGCCCGAGCCAGCAAACGCAGGCCGGTTCCTGAGAACAGGCTTCCTTCCGCCTTTGGAAGGATTCCAGGTCACACCAAATCAGGTACTCTGAGAAAGCCCGGCAGAGCAGCAGCCTTCTAGGAAAGGCAAAGCAGGGACTTGTCCGCTCCTGAAGGACGGGACGGACTTGCCTCCCTCGCTGCTCGGCTGCTTAGCGCTGGCTGAGCGCCTACTCCCCAAGGTGCCAGGTGGCAGAGAGTCCCCGGAGCTTGGCCTCTGCAGCCCACCCGGCTCCCCTATCAGGGTGGCTTTTAACCGGCCCGCAAACGATGAGAGAGTGAGGGGCGAAGAGGCTGTGCTTGTGGGTGACGCTGTTAGGACCACCACCACGATCTGTCAGCTGGGTCGGAAAAAGTCAGCACGCGGGTTCAGCCCAAGTAAGTGCCCCAAGTTCTAATGCTGAGTAGCCAGAGAGGTGCTCAGCGCTGGGGTCAGGACCCCTTCTTGATTTATCCGTGGATATTCCCATGGCATTCAGCTTCCCTCTGTCTGAATCCCAAGAATTAGAACAGCAGGAGATGGAAGGCCTTTTTCACAGAACTCTCTGCTGAAATCGGTGTTTCAAAGGTTGTAGAGCAGGGCAGGATTAGACGGATCCATGAAGGATCAAACTCACAGCAGACCCTCTATGCCACCTGTTGCTTTGGGAACAGGATGTGGCTCCCAGTGGATTTTGGAGGCCCCTCTGGGCTGGGCTGGGCCGGGCCTGGCCGACCGGGGGATCTCTCCGAGGGGTCTCGCGGCCCCCGCCTCTTCTCTGCCTGGTTTACTCTGCCCTCTGGTGGAAACAGGGAGTAATTGGAAAGGTCTCGGGCACTGGGAATGTCAGCGCTGCCCTGAAAGTTGAAAGAGGGCGTTAAGACAGACTCTGAGGGTGAGTGATTTTCAGATGGGGGAGCACGTCTGTTTGGGATGTACTGTGCTTCCCTCTCAATAAACAGTTTTCCCCTCGGGCAGGGATAATCTATGAACGCCCAAATAGCTCTCAATGGGAGAAATAACCTACATTATCCATCTTGGTTGATGTGCCAGCTACATGTTTTCCTGGACACAGATACCGCTTATTTGCTGCATGGGCACTGCCTATCCCTCCTCCCCCTGCCCCTGAAATTCTGCCAGGAAGTTCTGTGAGAGGCTTTTCTTAAAAGCTGGTCCAGGAACTGCATCTTAGAGAGACTTTTGTTGTTGTTGTTCAGTCATTAAGTCGTGTCCGACTCTTCGTGACCCCATGAACCATATCGCGCCAGGCCTGAAAAGGGTAATGG